AAAAAAAAAAAAAAATGGTAAGAATAAAAATTCACTCCCGAAATGATCACATTATAAGGAAAGAGTTACCGAAAAAAAGTTGACGTTACCGAACGGTGACCGGAAATCCGGTTAGTTTGTGGATAACCATCCTCCGAAAGTTGAGGGAGTCAGTGTTTCGGGTTGGTGTGGTTAGAGTAAGATGCTGTCTCTCGTCACAGCCACTACTATAGTATTAACCGGTGAGTAATGCTTCGATTTAATGAATATTACGGTTATAAATCGACGTTATAACGAGTTAAAAACGTCATATATTAATATACAATTTGATTTAGCTTAATTATTAATTATCATTTTCTTTTTTACTTTTAATTTGTCGTATCATTAATGGCGTTTCCATACCCCCGATTTAGCGTTTATTTCCTAAATTATTCACTTAATAATTGTAAATTTTAATTTTATAATTGTTTGTACGCATAAATTATTCTGTTTTAATGGGTGACATTTTTTTTTGTAAAAGTAAGCGTTAAATTTCTGTAAATTTATGGTTTTTAAAGCGTAATTTTAGTATAGAACATTGTGTAAACTTTACATAATAATTATAAGGGAACAATACATAAACAATGGCGAAAGAAAGTTAAATATCGTTATGTTTGTATATGGGCAATTTAATTAAATTGTTTATACTGCCATAAAAAGATCCAACGAGTCAGCTGGAACCAAGGTCTTTAATGACGTTAGCACTGGAAGATTTTTCAACTTTCACTTCTTGTATCCGGTCTTCTTCCCATTCTTCTTCTATTCTTTTATTTAATTAATTAAGATCAATTTCGATTGTGCCTCCTCCTTTAAAACGTTATGAGAGATTCTCCTCTTGGCTCCGAACTTATGAACCACCGGATCCGGAACCGTTTTGCATAAACCCGATCACGTGAAACCCGTTTACAAAATTCGATACTGCCCTCGAGTAATTTATACATTGGCTCCATCTGTCAAATAATGAGGCAATTATTTCGATATGTTATTAAATTTTTATTGCTTTCGACCCGTTCGATTCCTTAAATAATACTTAATTGCTTGGCGAGGGGACTGAAGTATTAAGTAATACCACCCTTGCCCTTCTCTCTCTTCTTCTTCTCTATTATTCTTTATAAAATGGAAGATAGATTTACATGAAAGCTTTAGTTTTCTCGTAAATGTCAACTGATCTTGCTGATTTTTTTTTATTTTTTTATTTTTTTGATACCGCCAGTCTGTCAAACACTAGAGAACACAGTCTTAACTGGAAAGGCTTATTTTGGAATTATGCCAATGCTGTTGATTTTGTTAAATGTAACACATCATTCTTTATCTTGATGGGTTCAAATTTTAATCAAATTCTTTACTGAATGTTATTACTACTTGATTGGATTTATGAACTGTAAGAGTTATAAATGTCAATTCGAATTGTGGTGGTGGGGGTGAAGGGGGAATGCTTCCTTCGATAAGAAGATGCGAATTATAATGGAATTTCTCGAATGTGTTTTATCAATAATGATTAATTTTGATGCTGGGGTTTTTTTTCCGGAAGGATTGAGTAATTGGCTTTCATAATCGAATGTTTTTTTTCCCCTATTCCCATTTGTCTTCTATACAATTATTTTACTTATTCGTGTTGAACTTTAAGTAATTTCCAGTCGGAGCTGGATTTAAATTTGCTGTATGACTCGCGCTACAACATATAGGAGGCCCTACTCTACAACACACAAGAGGCCTTTACTCCTTTACCAAATAAACTGTCGACGAGGCCCCTCCTAACGTCGTAAACACGCTGCTGCCTGTTTAGCTCGTTACTTAAATTTGGCTCCTGTTTCCACTTATAAATTTATCGTGATTTTAATTATTTACTAAGACAGAACAGTAAATTTGATTTATTTTCTTCTCTTCTAGATTCGTGGTAATGCATTTCGTCTTTTCTAATCAAAGAAAACTAGCCATATTGTCGACTTTCTGATTTCAGCTGATTGATATATTTCTAGACGTGTAACAGGATGCTGTAGCCGGATACTTGGAAAAACATAAAAGTCACTCGGGTGTATTGTAACATACACATTAATCGCTGTTAATTTATATAATTGACAATAATTAATTAATTTAATATCTTATTAAACTGTTCCTTCTTTAAATTGAGGGCCCGGTATAGTTAAAAACAGTTTGTATTATACATTTTAAATAATTAAATTCGTAAAAGAAGGTCTTAATATAGGAGAAATGCATCGAGTGTATCGTTTGTAACACATGTTTTTGAGGCTCCAAAAAAATCTGAGTCAAAAGGCCCCATTAGCCTCTCCTATTTACAAGTAATTCGATTAACTCGTGTTAATCACTCGTTTATTTTAACTTTCGTAAATGTATCGACAATATAAATTTTCAAAAATAGGGCCTCTTATAAAGGGATAAGGCCTCATTTCCGTATTAAATTATATTTAGAAAAATAAACAAAATAGAGTTAGAAATAATCATTATAAGTATTTTTTTTTTTTTACTGAGGTCCTTAAGTTTGAGGCCTCAGCAAAAAAAGAGGCCATTAGGGCCTGTTCAGAATTAATTCTTTTTGTTATATTAAAGCGTAAGTTTCTGCCAAATGTCAAAAAAAGTAAAATAAAATTCGACATTCGACACGATTTATCACAATTTCTTTCTAATACGTGATGAATTTTTTACCTTTTTTTTGTCTGTGTGTCCTCTTCTACGTGTGATGCCCTATTGCAAGTTAGGTAAATGCCAAGCTATCGGATGCCAGAAATGCTAATAATTTCAACTTTATGTAATTTGATTATAATGTTAAAGTTAAAGTGTAAGAATTATCGAGTAGAAGTAAGGAACGGAAAAAAATCGATCAGTTCAAAATTTGAATAACTAAAGGAAGAAGGGGAGGTGACATTTTCGTGTCATTTAATAGCATTTTAAAGCATTAAAGTTAAAGTTTAAAAATAGCAAAATATTAAAGCAATAAATGAATATTTTTCGTAATCCGAATCGAATTTTTTTTCGCTGCAGTTTTGTATTTATTAATAATTATGGCAATTGTCTGGGGCTCCATACCGATCTTAAAATATTTCCTCCAAAAAAACTTCGTTTGAAGTGTCTGAAGTCGACACTGTACGTGGGGCCTCCTAATTCAAATTTGCCTGGGCCCCATGAAGCTATAATGAGCCAGTAATAAGGGATGGTTGTACTTTCAGTACTGTTTTAAGGAGTTGAAGGGTAGTCGCGTGTGCCTGTGTTGCTCGGGCTTTAAGTGGGCGGGGGATTGAGGAGGTTGAAAAACACACACAAAAAAAAAAATTGCTCCGGCTAAAGAGATAGTGGGCTTTAGAGGAGCCCCACAGTATTTTTTAGGGTGTCAAAAAATATTCGTGCCGAAGTTGAGGCGGATAAGGTTCAACGGTGTAGAACCCTTTATATAGCACACATACATACATATTTTATAAGGTTCTCTCGCGTTAAAATCAATTAAAATAGTGTTTAATTACAGAAAACTTCACTTCCTCCTAGTCACTTCAGTTATTTCCCTTCGAATAACGACTTTTTCTTCTCTGTAACCATTCTTTAATCCCTCGTTTTCTACGATCGCTGCCGATTAGAAAGATTAACATACGAAACAATGGAGGAAAAAATAAAAAAAAATAAATAAAAATATAAATCTAGATAATTCCACGACCTCTTCGCACCGTCATTGAGTCGAAGGATGCGAATAAAAAACTTGCCAAAAATATCTCCCTTACGTGTCTATTGTCTATTAAGTCATATCACTTTAATATCCAGGATTTCTAGTGTGCAAGCTCGTCTATTTTTACATGTATTCCAGATAACGAGACTGCTGATAAGACCCTTAAAATCCCGGTATTTAAAGTTGGAACGAACGGATTTGTTTTTCCTCTCCGGAGTGATTAATGTCTCAAACACGATGCTTGTAGGATTCTTGTCGTACTCGATTACGAGACCCGAGAATGTTTTGATACTTTCAAAACTTATCCTTTGTTTTGTTTAATGTTTACACAGGCAATGTTTAACGTCATTTAATATTTTCCCTACTCTACTTTTACGTCAAACAAAGATTCTTTCCACTTCCTCATTAGTGAATAATATAGCACGGCATTAATCTGTATTACTTCTATTTCTCGTGTTTGTCTTCTGAATAATGTATTAAGGTTAAATAGTAATAAAATGGATTAGTAGTTTCATAAGTTACAACAAAGAACTTTGATGTATTTGCTTCGTAACGTCTTGTTTATTTTTATTACTATTTTTTATTTATTTTTTTCCTTTCTTTCCTTCTCGTTTCCACATTCTTAACGTTCTCTAACAATCGAAAATTACTACTAAATTTCAATACATTAGTGTATTCTCGATAAGAACAGTCTACTGATAGTAGTATGTGTTTTGTGTGTTAATGGGCCCTAGAATAGCTGGCAAACTCGGGCCCTAGACTAGCTAACTAACTATAGCTCTAGACTAGCTGCATAATATATCCATTCCTTTAAAAGTTTCAGTAGTGTAGTAATAAAAATCTAATTCTCTAACTGATTGCGGGTCTTCTAAAACACAGATCCTCAGGCAGTGTCTTGTTTGCCTAGAAATAAAAGCATCACCGAGTGAGACTATCGTAGTGTAGCTTCCTTGCAAGGACTCGATATATTTGTTCTACAGTATTTTCCTTATCCTTTTCAACATTCTCAACTTCTTCTATCTATCGAACGTTACTACTACTACTACTACTACTACTACTACCCCCCCGAATGCATTAGTATTTCGAGTATTAAGCATCGTTTTCTTCAGTCATAAAAATACATGAATATTCGGCTAATGTTAAGTGCTCTAGTTTTTAAAGATTGTCGAATATAATATTTAAAATATATATATATATATATATATGTACTGTAGTTTGAATAAGACGTTTCGAAGCCATCAGCATAAAGAATAAAATATAGATAGTTGCAACAATAATGTAGATTATCGAGTGTTGCTTTCAGAAACTGATACCAACGGAGGAAACAAGCAACAACACGGAATCCTCCAGAGTTAAGTGCAGAGTGCATTAGTAAACAGAGTGTACTATAAAATATCCCTACACTTGTCGAATATACCGGGTAGTTTCCAGTGTCGAATTCTATTTTGATTTCTGTCATTCTGTAGAAGGAAAAAAATAATAATAATAAAATAAAATACAGGGATAAAACCCTAAACTGTCCACCCCGTC